GCTCTGTGCTGCGGGCTGAACAATAGTTAGTTCTTACTAATAAATTAATATGACAGAGCACGTGTCCTCTCTCCAGCCCGTTGCGTGATTCTTCTTTGTTTTCCTTGGGATTTGGTGCAGTCATGTAACTGGTATTTTCTYCCCCCTCCGCTTCCTAAGAGTTTTCTGTTGCTGCTTCCTATGAACAATACCCAGGCATCAGGTATCCAGCTGTGAGAGGAGTCGGAAAGGAGAGAGGAAAAAGCTCCAATCTGTTTACCTGCTGCTCTCCCCACTGTATATAGGGGTTCGGTGCTTGTGTTTCTTTTCCTTGGTCATGACCGAGACTGGGCTTGTATTSTGTGCTGCCCTCGTGAGCTTCATAGATACCCCTTTGCGTAGCGAACCAGACACTCTGTCCTGCCCTCTGCTTTGTTCCTTTCGTGCATTTAACTGCTGGATGTAGTGGTTGGCACACAAGCACCAAGGATGCTCAGCAAAAAAATCTGTGGTTTTGATTAGCTCCCTGTGACTCAGTGCTAGCAGGTTAGTATTTCTTCTTTRTGGTGATAACTTAATCTTTTTTTCCCCCGGAGCTGAAAATCTGAAGGTTGAGCATATACAGAATATATGACTTAAGTATATAGTGGCTCTCCTTGGGCATGGCCGTGTGCAGGGAGCGCGGAGGCTCTCTGGCTCTTCCCGACTTTTTTGCTTATTTGTGGGTTTCGGGGAGTATCTCTGGAGAGCTTCCCGTGCCCAGATTCCATTACTGCAGTATTAAGGGCRGCTGGTATTAGTGTTTCCTGAAGGAATGCTTAGAAGTTGTCATGCCAGAGAAGTGCAGAAGGGGGACGCTTAGGGTCTGTGATCCGAGTGCCACTATTTCCTTGTGCTGAGTTTGCCCATTCCTTTTCTACAGCTGATAAGACAGGTAGCTCTTTGTTTTGGACAGCTGGCGCCGTTATAGCCTTAACCCAAGATGTTGGGGGATTTGGAACATTCCACTCTCTAATGTGGCTTTTTCAACTATTCAGAGCAGAGTTTAAGAAAAAAATAAATTAAAAAGCTAAGTTTTGTGCCAGCTTGGGATGTTTAAAGATACTATCATTTGCTCTCTAATGGCAAAGCAAGGGAGGGAACGAAAAAGTAGGCGACTTCATTGCCTACATGGGTAACCTTCCAGTCCTTTCCCACAGAATGAAAGTGGGAGTAATCATGCGGTGCATGACAGTCTGACACAAGCTCACTTTGTTTTGTTTCACAAAACAGTATGTTTCACATACCCTGTAAATTGTGAAGTTCTGTAGCTTTCCWTACCGTGGCTCGGTTGGGGACAGGGGCTCGTGTCCCTAGCCGGGGCGGGYGGTGTGCGGCGCTGGCCGGCCCGTGCGTTTGCTTTCCAGTTCCCCACTGAAGGCTGAGTCATTGTTACTGTTAGAACAAATATATATTAGATATATTATCTAATCGAACAGCAAAACTGTTTCTCCTCTCTTGCAGCTAATGATAGCACAAGTTTCACACTTATAAAAGACAAAAACAAGTCCTTTATATATATATATATATATTTATTCTTCCAAGAGTGTCTGTGTTTTAGGCTCAAATGAATCACTTGAAACACTTTTAACACTGATGGCTGCCAATGTTTATGTTGAGCTGATGGCAACTGATCCTCCCCCGGACTTCCCAGCAAGTGCTGAGAGTTCTCTTTTTTTTTTTTTGCTCCAGCAATTTTGAGGTTAAAACTTCCTCTTTCCGTTTAGTGGGTAGAACTGAAACTTGTGGATACATGTATGGATTCCACGTAAGGGAAGAGAACAAGTGAGATTGTTCCAGTAGTTTGTAAAGGAAACTGCATCAGTAGGATGCAAATTTAGGCTGCTTTAACTATTATAGAGGGAGGATTTATTTATTTATTTATTTAAAGGCACCTCTGCTCTTGGGGGGAAAAATGTATAAATATATTTTTATATATTTTATATATAAARTATATTTTATGTGTATTTGATAGGCCTGGGAACAGTGCTTTCTAAACTTTCCACGCWAGGTTGTTTTTAGCTCACTGAAGGACGTGTAGGTCGCTTGCACCTCGATACCATTTCACACCTCAGTCGAACTCCTGGTTACTTTAAGGAGAATKGGGATTGCGAGAGCATCGCAATCGGTATCAGCCTTTTCTTCATTCTGAACAGTAGCTGTGCCACGGAGTTCCTGAGAAATAGCTGGTGTCAGTGTTAAATTTACACGATCCTCCTAAGTAAAACCTCTTAAATAACAATTTTCATGTAGCTGGAAATGCCTGTTCTGGGACGGGATTCAGCAAACCTGGGTGCGTTCTCAGCATCGTTTGTGACCCAGGCTGGCTCTGCGGCACATGAACCTCTTCCAAGGGTCTGCCTTCCGGGGGAAACCAAATAGGCTCCTCTTCCAGCCCAGCTTCGCTTCTGCTTTGTTCCCTGTAGGTTTTCCCCTTTTTAGAAAAGGGAATTACAGAACACGTATTACAGATTCACAGAATATTTAAGGTTGGAAGGGACCTCTACAGATCATCTAGTCCAACCTTCCTGCTCAAGCAGGCACACCTA